GTCGCACTGAGATCGGAGCGGGCGAGAAGCACAAGTCCAGAGGCGCCAGACTGCGCAAACGCGATTGCGATAGCCTTCCCGATACCCCTCGATGCGCCGGTCACGAGGACGACCTGTCCTGCGAGGTTGGCTTTTGCGGGGTCGATGGCAGGGTACGTGTCATGACGCGCAGTTTTTACGAATTCCCGACCTAAGCAAAGTGTTTAGAGTAGGACAAGCCATGTACAGGGCGAGGACGCTTACCGGCGTGAAGAGGGAAGCTGACTCTCATTGTGATGATTGCTGGGTTGTTGACGAGTGCGACTATGTGCTAGAGACTGAGCGGCACCTGGCCGCATCCTGGCTTTATATGCGCGGTGAGGCCGGTTCTCGTAAACCGCTCGAAGACGTCGATTCCCCGTTCATCGGGATTTGCACCAACTTGGAGGCCGCGAATCCATTCGGCACCGCAGTCCTGAGGCAGTTCCGCCCTCAAAGTGATGCTTGGATCCTCCCACGAGACTGGAGTAGCCGGCACATTGTCGCAGGAGTGAACAACGGCACGGCGTAGTGCGTGGATGCGTGGCGCGACTCGGAGGAGGAGCGGGAAATGACAAATCCAGCGCGCCACTGGCCCATCACCGCGGCCGAGAGCTTGATATCCTCCTCCAGTTCCGCCATGAACACATCCGTATTCAGTCGGCTGGTGTGTTCGCCAAGCGATCGATCAAGGCGACGCGGTCCGCCAGGGTCCGCCGCCCGCGTTACGGCTGTCGGCACTTTCTCTTGTGCAGCTCCTGCCGCGCCATCACATCACGACTACTGACTATCTCTCGCACACAGCGACAATTCCCTCTCGCTGTGATTGTCTCTTGCGTAGTGAGTGCCACCGTCACCGCGGTCAAGAGCCCTCCCGATTCGGCGTTGATCACCTTGTCCTTCGAGCCCGGTTTTGCTTAGTCGTCGGATTATACTTATTTCGACTTAACCCACGACCCCTCTTTTGAGCCCCTTCGGTGCTGGGTCTTGATCATACCTTCACAATGCAAGTACTCCGAGTGTCCAGTTAGTCAGCTCAGTACCTCCTTGGGCTACAAAAGTCGCCTCACTGTTATTGAGAATGAGTTGTGTCCAGAGAACTCCAGCTGTCTGACCACCCGCTACTTTTTACGCGGGGAGATGGGTTTCTTGAAAGACGTGGTCCGGCGCATTTGTTTGCGACGCGGGCACTCGACACGCCGTCGTCTTACAAGTGACTGTGTCCGACGAACATGACGTTTACTCGGGGGGG